GTTGGCTCCACGCATGCCAGCTTTGCACAGAGCACAGAGCGGAAAGAGGTCTGCAGCAGGTCCAGGCTTTGGCACAAGCAGCTCTGTGCCTGGCCCGGTGGTCTGGCAGAGCCCGGGGCAATACTGCAATGGCAGAGAAAGTTTTCAAGTGGGGCCTCCGGCAGGTCCCAGGGGGAGAGCTGCAGTGCCAACTCTTAGGGTTCTCGAGTAAGACCATGCCACACATCAGTCACAGGACAGCTCCTGGAATGTTACTGGGCCCCCACAGGAAATGAGCATCGGCCCTTGAGCATGGTCAGGTGGCTCATCAGAGATGAATGCTGTCAGAGGCACCAAGACAATGGAGGTGCCATTGCCAGTTTCAGCTCTGAGCACATCTAGACACAGGTAAGCTGCATAAGCAAGTGACTGCCACCCCCTTGTGGCCTTGCTCACTGCACCTCTGGTGGCCCTGAATGACAGCAGTGAGGGGAAAGCCCTCCAAAGGGTAGAGCTTCTCCAGGGCACTGTATCATCCACGTAGTACGGAGGGAAAAGTGCCTAGGAAAAGAAGACATGGACCCCCATTTGCCACAGTAAACAGTTGAGCTAGTAGCTTCAGGGGGGAGGACAGAGCAAGAATATAAGTTTAGAGACAAGGAAGTCAGGAGAAGCGGTACCTAGAGAACTAGTGTGACACACGGTGGCTTTCCGGTTGGTGGACCCAGGGCTCCAGGCGGGACACCCTGTTCCCCAGTACTCCCAGTGACCCAACTGGGGAATTTGTGTCCTCATCCTAGAAACTTTAGGCTAGGCTCTGGGTCTCCAAGCCTAATTTCGCCAGGAACACAGTAAGAGTGGCACAAAACATACACTGTGACAACTGCCTGGCCGCTCTGGGCTCCTCATCCCACCAAGCACAGGGGCCCCTATGCTGGCAGGGGTGCTGGATCCAGATCCTAGGAACAGCGATGTTTCACCTTCCCATCCACCGGATGTCCTGTGGTGCTCCTGCCCCCAGCTGTCACTGTGAATGGGCCATTACAGCCAGCACAACCTGAGGAGGGCATGGTACCCAGGGGCTCATCCCCAGGGATGAGCATCTGGGTCAACCCATTAGGTGAGGCACCCAGACCTTCAGAAGTGCTAGGTGCTCCTGGGAGAGGGGGAGCTAGAGAAGGTGGGGTCGGCACGTGGATGCCTGGTTACAGGCTCAGGGCCAACTTAAGCAGCAGGGACCACAGGCCATCCCAATAGCTTTCCTTTCCTATATATGTACAGAAATTGTGCCCAACCAGAACCCCGGGGATCTAAATGCAATAAACTTCATGTGGGGCTGAGTGTGGCAGGGCTGGGGTAAGTGTTCCCAGTGTGACTGGTGACTTGCAGGTGACCCTTTCACTGGAACATTGGCCAGATGGGAGCCACCTTAGTGAGAGGGACTGTGCACCCTGACCTCAATGAGAGGTGGTCTCAGACCCCACCGGGTTCGGGTGGAACCAGCATCCCCCTCAGCGTTTCACCCTCCCCTCTGCCTCCCTCAGGTATTTGCCAAAAAACTTACCCCGGTTCTTCTCCCCCAGTGAAACCACCGATCTGTTCCCCAGACCTGTGGCCGTCTTCAGTGTCATATAAATGGACTCACACAGTATGGAGCCTTCTGAGACTGACTTCTCCCACTCAGCACAATCTTCTGACATGGCCCTGTGTTGCTGCGTGTGTCACTCACTGCCACCCTGGGCCCCTCCCTGGTGGTGTGGACCGTGGCCAACCAGCTCGTGGGCAGCTGAGTTGTTGCCAAGCTTTGGCAATGATGAACAGAACTCCTCTAAACATTCACAGGACATCTCCTCAGCTGGATCAGCTTACTCACGGGGGAACTGTCCTATTTCCTGTGCTGTTACAGGTGGCAATGTTGCTAAGCTTCTTGCCACTCCACACCAAGAGTCTCCTTTCTTCCATCTTCCAATACGATTTGTCTCACTTCCCTCTAAGACTCCAATGACAGTCTCAGCAAGTCCTTCCAGCTCCCACCCACTGTCCAGTCCCAAAGCCAATGCCATGTGACTTAGGGCTTGTATCAGCAGCATCCCATTCCGGTACCAAACCCATCCAGTTATCCAGAGCTACGTGTAACAAGCCACCTCAAACTTAGTGCTATGAACACATAAACAACCTCTTCTATTGTTACCTTGATTTGGACTCTCTTGCAGTTACAGTGGATGGCAGCTGGGACTGAAGCCACCCTGAAAGCTTCCTTGCTCACTCATGATCCTCCGTGCCAGCCGTTGGCTGGCCCTTCAACTGCAGCTGCTGGCTGGAACACCTCGGTATTTGCCTCTTCCTGGGGCTGCTGGTGGCTTCTCGCAGCATGGTGGCTGGCTCGAAGAGCAAGCATCCCAAGACGAGGGAGAGAGGAGCTGTATCACCTAGCTGTCTGATCTGGCCTCAGCAGTCAATGTCATTTCTGTGACCTTCTGCATTCTGGGGGTGAAGGAGCGAGTCATTAAGCCAGCCCATGTTCAAGGGGAAGGGAATTAGATTTCAGCTCTTGAAGGGAGAAGGGTCAAGGAATTGGAAAGCACCACAGTGGTGGTGGGCCCCTTTACCATGGTGGACTGGTGAAGAGATGGGCATACGCAGAGGTGGACAGGTAAAGAGATGGTGCATTTACCAAGATGGATAGGTGGGTAGGTGACACATTTATCAAGGTGAGGAAATACCAGGACATGGAGCAGGTGCTTGGGAGACACTAGCCTGGAGCAGAGAGAGAGGTCAGGCCAAAGGTATCAGCTTGGGAGTCATTGTCACAGAAATGGTGACTGAAGCTTCAAGGCTGCAGGAGGTCACCCAGGGTGGGAATGAGGAGGGATGAAGAAACTGCCAGGGCTGGGAACAGGAGGGCACAATCTTCCTGACCACGGACTCTGTTGCTCCGATCCTGGCAGAACTCCAGGGAAGTTGATGGGTAGTCAATACCCATGTGCCTCCCCATGTGCCTCTCTGAACTAATGGTGACCATCCGCTTCTATAAGGAAGGTTCTGTACTGGGAGAAGTTTCCACAGTCATCTAAAGGGACACATGGGAAGAGATAGGAGGTTTAGGGCTGTGGCAGCCCTCTTGTAACCATGAGGCAGGCTGAGAGTGGCAGAAGTAATGGTTCCTTCACTGAGCATCTAGATTAACAAGTCCTGAGGTGCTTGGGTGGCTGTCGGTTAAGCATCCAAAGCTGGATGATCTTGCAGTCATGATCTTGTGGCTCATGGGTTCCAGCCCCACATCAGGCACTGTGCTCACAGCATACCAGCTTGGAGTCAATAAAGGAGTCTGCACGAAGTGTGTCAGGTGGGAGGAGAGGCTAGGAATGTGAGTGTGCTGACCTCCAATGGCACCCACCATCCATGGAACCCTCACAGCCCAACCAAGTTCTAATGTTTCACACATAGTAACTGGTCAAGTCTTAGGAGTACCTCCTGAGTTAGGTTGCTATTATGAGGCTGGTTAACAGATTGGGAAACCAAGGCACGGGGCGGGGCAGGGGGTGAAGGAACCTATGGAAGGTCCCACAGCCAGAAAGTGACAGCTGGGATGTCCTGTGAGCCAACAATAGCTTTTCAGAGGTCCAGAGAGGAGGATCTTAAGCTAAAGTGCCTGGCTGGCTGGTCAGTGCTACTTAACTTGAAAATGAAAAGCCTTGGGGCACCTGGGTGGCTCAGTCGGTTAAGTGTCCGACTTCGGCTCAGGTCATGATTTCACCGTTCATGGGTTCAAGCCCCGCATCAGGCTATGTGCTGACAGCTCAGAGCCTGGAGCCTGTTTCGGACTCTGTGTCTCCCTCTCTCTGACCTTCCCCTGCTCGCTCGCTTGCTCGCTCTCTCTCAGAAATAAATAAAACATTTAAAAAGAAAGAAAAAGAAAGAAAGAAAGAAAGAAAGAAAGAAAGAAAGAAAGAAAGAAAGAAAGAAAGAAAGAAAGAAAGAAAGAAAGACAATGAACAGCTTTCACTGAATTTGACAAAGTACAAGTCATCAGCAATGTTGGGCAGTGTGACCTGGGGGCGGGGGGAGCAAGACAGTCGGACTGGGCTGAAGGGTGGGGAGGTGGACAGTCCATACAAGTCAGCTCTTGAGAAGCACGGCTCTGAAGAGGGTACGGCAGAGGTGCTCAATGTTTTTTCGGAGGGGATTCCAGCACATAGGAAGTAGGAGGAGGGGTCGCTCCAGAGCACTTGGGTGGGCCCTTGGATGGCATCTGGAAGGCTCCCCTGACTCAGTAGAGAAGATAGAGAATTGGGCGCACGAGCAGTGGAGTTTCAGGGTCGGTGACGAGACCAGAGGTAGCTTCCTGTTCTGCCCCCATTTCCTCCATGAGGTTGAGACGCCGGCTCTGAAATGAATGGGAGGTTTGGGGACAATGAGCGGTGGCATCGTGGGGTTGCTGATAGAGCTGGGTCCCCTTGAGGGTTGGAGCCCAGCAGTTTTGGACCCAAGAGATACGCAGTTTGGGTGGGTTTCTCCAGATTTACTCATTCCCCTCCGCAGGGCCCCAAGGGGATTAGGAGCCAGCCCGGGTTGCGGCGGCTACAGGAGGAGGTACCCAGGGGGTGGGCCAAGAGGCGCCAGGGCAAACTCGGGTGGGAGGCCTTCAAGGTCGGGGCGTCCTCAGGCCGCTGCCCCCAAAGCAGGGCGAGGACCACTAGGCGCCCGCGGGCAGGGGAAGGCGGCCCTGCGCGCCTTTCCGGTGGGGCCTCTCCCTGCCCGGGAGTCCTGCCAGCCTTTCGGGCCGGGAAGACCGACGCCGGGCTGAGGGCTTCCAGCTAGCCCCCTCCCCGCGGCCCGGCGAGCCCCCGCGCGCCGATGCGGAGCAGGATTTCCCGCCGCCGCAGACGAGGATTAGCGCGCCCCTGGCCGGCGCGGCGGCGGGATTAGTCCGCGTGGACTCGGCGCTCGGCCCGGGGATTACAGCGCGCTCCCCCCCGACGTATATATTCCCGCAGCGGCGGCCGTGGGGCCAGGCCGGCATGGCTGCGGCTGGGGGCGCAGTGAGCCGCAGGGGCCCCGGGCGGCCCTGCCCCTTCTCCATCGAGCACATCCTCTCCAACCTGCCCGAGCGGAGACCCCCGGCACGGGCCGCCCGCACCCCGCAGCCCGCCGGCCGCCAGAGCCCCGCGGAGTCCCGGGAGCCCGGGGCGCCCGAGGCCGCGCCCTGCGCCTGCTGCTGCTGCTGCGGGCCCCGCGCGGCGCCCCGCGGGCCCCCGGAGCCGGCCGCCGGGCTGGGTGAGTGGGAGCGGGGCGCGGGCGCGGGGGTCCTCCGGGCGCGGTGCGGTCTGGGCGGAGCTCGGCCCCCGCCCCGCGCCTCACCGCGCCCTCGCCCCACAGGCGCGCGGCTGCCGTGGCCGCTGAGGCTGGGCCCGGCGGCGCCCTTGCCCTTGGCCGCGCCCACGGGAGGTCCGGGGGCGCTGCCCGGCGCGGGCGGGCCCGGCCCGCAGCGGCGCACGCGGCGCCACCGCACCATTTTCAGCGAGGAGCAGCTGCAGGCGCTGGAGGCGCTCTTCGTGCAGAACCAGTACCCCGACGTGGGCACGCGCGAGCGCCTGGCCGGCCGCATCCGCCTGCGCGAGGAACGCGTGGAGGTGGGTGCCCGCCCGCCCGACGGCGAGAGGCTCCGCGCGAGCTGGCTTCCTGCCTCCTTCTTTTGAAAAGACGACGGTGGCGCGAAGGGAGGAGGCGCGGGAGGCCAGGGACCCGCAGTGGGGCGCAGGGCCAATTCCGGGGCGAGGGCGGGCGGGGGACAGGCACGTGCGGGAAAGTGTCTCTGGACTGGAGGGGAGATAAGGCTAGTTTTCTTGAACTTTGGTTTAAACTTGTAAATTTTCCCTGATAAATGAGACGCGCGTTCATGTGCCGGAATTGGGGAGCTCGGAAATAGCACCGAGACGCAGAAAGGGCGTCCGGGGCGCCTTCGGGGGCGGGGAGGCGGGGGGGGGGGGGTGAGGGGGGGGGGATAAGAAGGCACGCAAAGAGTGGGCTGGTCGGGTGGGAAAGTGGTTCCCGTCCCGCATCCCGAGCCGCAGCGGTTACGAGATGGTGGGTGCCGCTGCCCGGTGCTGGCTCCCCAAGCCCTCGCCTGCCCATATCCCTGTCGGGAAGCTGGCTGCCTGGTCCACCTATGAGAGGCCAGCGGGACGCGGGGCCCAGGGCTGGGTCTGAGCCGTCCCTCCTGCTCATCAGGTCTGGTTCAAGAACCGCCGGGCCAAGTGGCGACACCAGAAGCGCGCGTCAGCGACCTCGAGGCTCCTCCCTGGAACCAAGAAGCCGGCAAAGGAGAGCTGCTGATGGCTCTGGGAGCTACTCCTGGGCTTGGCCGGGTCCTTTGGGGCCGGCGCAGAGAGGGGACAGATCTACCCGAAATGGAGCTGAGAGAGGACACCGACCTCTTCCCGCCTTCAGGCTTCCTGCATCCTGGCGCTAGTGCTCAAAGCAGGAGACTCTCTGCGGGACAGCAGATGTGTGTCTCCTACCTCCTCCCCCGCCCCCCCCCCGCTCCCACCCCCGTGTCACCTGCCCCAGGAAAGGAGGGGGCACTGGACATTTCCACGTGCTCTCCTTTCCAGTGACTAGGGTCGAGGAGATACCCCGGGAATTCCGGGGGGAAGGGGGGCTGGGAGCAGGCCACAGAGCAGATCAGCTTCCTCAACCCCGCACCAACTCCAGGACAGGAACCATCCCTTGTCAGGGGCACCCAGAATCCTCCTCTCCCTCCTGGGATATGCTGATGTCCCTCCTCTCCTCAGCATGGACATAGGTCCCTTGGCCTGGCCACCAGGGTGGGGTGGGGGTGTTCTGTGCATTCTGGGGTTGTTGCCTTGCATGTGCTGCACTGGGCCTTGGGATCCAGAGCTGCAGGATAAGGACGTTGGATGAGGTCATCTCCAAAAGCCCCCTACCCCACTCCTTAATTCTGTGAGCCTTGTCTGGATACTGGGAAATAAACAAGCAACTACACACAGCACAAAAGCAGTCCAGAGTTCAAAATCCACCATGACTTCACACCCACATCCGGGGGTGGGGGCCAGCTTGTCTTGGGGAGCACAGCCCAGTGAGTCCTCTGTTTCTGTGCTCCCCAGCACAGCAGACTACCCCACAGATCATGGCCTAGCACCCTGGGGAGTCTGTGCTGGCCTTTAGGTACTGCTCACCTGCTTCACGGGTGGAGATCCTTGGCTTCCTCCTTCTGGGGGGTTTACCTATGTGTCTGCCATTCTGTTGTGGCAAGAGGAGGTTTGACTGGGAAGGATGCACCACACTCCCTGCCACTGCCTTGGAAAATCTGTTTTCCTCTCCAACACCCTGGCTGCAGGGTGAAGGACAGTGTGAAAACAAGGCTTTGATCCCCCCCAGCAGGCCTGTATGGTGGGCTCAATCAAGGCACCTAACACCATCATCTGGCTTGGGGACCATGTTCTGCCTCCTCACATGTCCCTGGAGGAAATGGGCGGTGGGGGTGGTATCTGAAAGGAGACACAGTCCATTCATTAAAGGTGCAGAAGCCGAGCAGGCGTGATGTCGCCAGCCAGTGCTGTTCTAACACTGCCTCATGCCTCCAGCAGCACTATCCTCCACCCCGTGGGATGCACACTTCTGGCTGTCACAAAGTTCCTTTCCCCGAACCCTGGCCTTGCCCTTGGACATGGCACAGCCTGCCTGCAGATCGCAGGCTGGAACACCCTCATCTCTCTGGGTTCTGGGACCCCAGCACCCCCACCTTGGCTCTTTGTCATTGTGAAGGGCAGCCATGATCAGAGTTCATCTTCAAGGGACCTGCGGCTCTACTGTCCTCCTGATTTCTCTCCTTTCTCTCTAGCTGCTCCTTGGCAGGTTCACTCCTACAAGCTGCTCGTTAACATAGGTGACCTGCATGCTGGACCCCAGGCATGTCCCTCTCCTCTCCATTCTCTCCATGCTTTATCATGTCCACTTTCAGGCTGCAATTCCCTTCTCTTTTCCACATTTACATCTCCAGCCCTGAACTAGATATTTGTGTCCACCTATCCCCTTGAACTACTCAAGGGGAGGCCACGGTGCTTCAAAATCACCTTGTCCGTGGCAAATTCTTCCCCATGTGCAAACTCGGCGCAGAAGCCAAAGGGCTGGCAATTTCCCCCCACCCCTCTTCTCCTTCACCCACCATACACAGGCCAGCAGCAAATCCATTTTTCTTCCAAAAACTATCCCAGAAGCTATCTTCTCCCCAGCTTCAACTGTACCAGCCTGGTGAAAGTGCTGTGACCCCTCACCCTGACCATTGAAGGTGCCTCCAGTCTTGTCCACCTGCAGCCACTCTGTGTCCTCTGTAATTCATTCTCCATAAAGCCAGGGTGCGAGTTTGAACCTGTCCCTCCCCTGCCTACAGCACTCCAAGGGCTTCCCGCTGTTCCTAAAGACAAAATCCCTCACTGTGACCCATGAGGTCCCATGCAGCCGGTGCTTGCCCGTCTGGCATACTTCATACCTCACAGTCTGTGTGTATCAGAAGGTCTTCTCCCTCTTGCTGCAAGACCTTTGCACCTGCTCTTTCCCTCCTCCGATCAGTGTTCATCCTTTGGATCTGCCACTTCTAGCCCTGGGGAGACTTCCCCTGACTGCCCCCTAGGTAAGATTCCCCAACAACCATTTTTTTGCACCTGTCCGCTGCAGTATTTTAAAGATTTTTAAGTTTATTTATTTTGAGAAAGGGAGAGAGAGATCGGGGAAGGGGCAGAGAGAGGGAGAGAGAGAATCCCAAGCAGGCTCTGTGCTGTTAGCGCAGAGACCGACCTGGGGCTGGAACTCACAAACTGTGAGATCGTGGCCTGAGCCAAGATGAACCGTAAGACGCTTAACCTACTGAGCCACCCAGCACCCCACCGCCACCCCGTTGCAGTTTTATGCTTGTTTGTGGGCTGATGCAACCAGTGTCTGTCTTCCCCATTTGACTGTAAGCTCCACAGGACAGGAACAATCACCATGGAGCGCCCCAGGGAGTGAAGGAATGGCTGCCTATTATACTAAATCGTTCTGGGGAAGAACTTACTTGTTTGACAGAATTCACAACCTCTTTGTGGGAAGAAATGATCATTCTTGAAAAAAACGTTTGGGCAATTTTCTGGTCCATTTCAATGAAAGTTAGTCCTCTTCTGGTAAGCCCACTCGTGTTCAGGAACCGAATAATTTTTTTAAATGTTTATTTTTGAGAGAGAGAGATCAAGAGCGAGGGAGGGGAGGAGAGAGACGGGGCTACAGATGATCGGAAGCGGACTCTGCTGACAGCAGAGAGCCTGATGCAGGGCTCAAACTCACGAACCCTGAGATCATGACCGGACCCGAAGTCGAAAGCTTAACTGACTGAGCCACCCAGGCGCCCCGGGAAACGAATGATTTTTAACCAGACATTTCTTTATTAGACCATCCTATTTTCCTTTCCTTTTTTCTTTTGTTAGATAACTACGAAGAAAAAAATGGTCTTAGTGTTGTTCTCTTGCATAAAGTTTGAATAAAAACTTTGAAACGAGTATACAGCCACAATGTGTTTTTGTTAATGATATATAAGTATACCCAATGATTATTCTCGAGAAACTGGAATTCCGAGGTCTTTCAATTTAGCAGTGCTGAATTTTTCAGGATTAGCGTGAATGACACGCCCCTTAGCCTCCCACACCATAGCGCTCCCTGGTGCCCATAGTTAAGATTCGCAGGACCACAGCAGGGCGGGGCAAAGACTACAGCTCCCATAAGGCGCAGGGATTATAGTGACGTCACCACAGCGCGCCGGCTGGTCTTCAAAATGCGCAGCTCTTCCATTGGTGGACTGTTGCGAACGCCTGCGCAGCTGGCGCGGTTCCGCCCCCGCCGTCTCCAGACCCTGTTACGAGCCTGCGCAGCCCGAGCGGTCCTGGGATAGCGATGGAGACGCCCGGCGCGTCAACCCGGGCCTTGCTGCTCCCTGCCGCCTCCGGGCCCCGGAGGAAACGCGCGGCAGGGGAGTCGCTTGCGACGAGCAAGCAACGGGTCCTGGACGAAGAAGAGTACATCGAGGTAAGACTTCGATGCGGACTCTAGCGAATTCTGGGTCCTTTCTCCTCCTCGCGCTCTTCTCGGGTCTTTCCTTTCGGGTCGTGACAGTTTTGTCCCCTCGCGGAGGTGGAGCAGCTCGAGTTCGTGTTTTTGGGGTGTGGGCAGTCGGAGAGCCAAATAAGCACGGTGCAGAGTGACTTGTCCTTGATGGAGGCGGCACTAGTAGCGTTGTTAGGGGAGAGTGGGGGCGGTTTTGTATGTGGTGGCGGGGGAGGATTTCGGGGAAAGACGGTTTTTTAGTAAAGTAGGCGTGTGGAAGGATGGTGGCAAAGAGGACTTTTTAAGAGAGCTGTTTGTTTTGGGAGGCCTCTGGGACAGACAGGCAGGTGGCGTTAGTGGACAGCTGGGTGCACAGATGTGCAGCCAGGAGCAAGTCTGGCAGGAGGTACAGATTTGGGAATCTCAACCAGTGTTCCTGGCGGGAGTGACAGGCCTAAGTCATCCAGGTAAAGCGTTCAGATCGGAAATAGGTTAAGGATGGAATTAAGGGGGCAGCACCCACCTTGGTCCAGCTAGTGTGGACGCGTTGCCAGCAAAGGAGAAGGAGAGCGAGTTAATGAGGGGAGAGAGAAGGGTTTCATGGAAATCAGGTGAACGTTTAGTATTGTTAGATGTTGCAGCAAGATCATAGGGAATGCTTATCCTCGTTGGGAAGTGCAGCTAAAGTCAGAGGATCAATGGGTTGGACTGAGTTTGGGACATTAGCAAGGACCTTAGCGTGTGCATTGGTAGACTGAAAGGCAGAGAAGAAGCAGATGTGAATTATGATTTTTATTCTGACTTCTGACAGGGCCTCCAGACGGTCATCCAGAGGGACTTCTTTCCTGATGTGGAAAAGCTGCAAGCCCAGAAAGAGTACCTGGAGGCTGAGGAGAATGGAGACCTGGAGCGGATGCGTCAGATCGCCATCAAGTTTGGCTCTGCCCTGGGCAAGATGTCCCGAGAGCCCCCACCTCCCTGTAAGAGTGACAGCGGGTTGCCGACAGGGGAACTCCTGCTGAGCTGATGTCTTGGACTGGCTCTAATCCCTTTCCCCTTCCTTCTAGATGTGACTCCAGCCACATTTGAGACCCCTGATGTGCACACAGGCACCGGAATGGTGGGCAACAAGCCCCGGGGCCGGGGCCGAGGCCTGGAGGTTGGCGAGGGTGAGTGAGCAGTTGGGTTTGCTTGAGAGTCTCATCCTGTGCAGCCCTGAGGGGCTGGTTAAGAGGCAGATCCCG